CTCTGCCGGAGTATTCTTTCCTTTGTCATGCAGTTTGCTCCTTTCTCGCGCCCTGCCTCTGCCGCTGATAAGAGCGCGCTGAAGCCTCTACTGGTCGGTCCTCGTCTCAGTTTCAACTGCGATATGTTGACGAATCTGACCTCCCTGGGCTTGCCTGGACAGTTCGACAGCCTGGAGGGTGTTTCTCGGGCCACGCAGTTCGGGCTGGTTTCGAGATGTTCTGGCATCTTCAGGATTCTGGAGGACCTGGAAACTCTGTTCAGGTGTGATGCTGCGTGTATTGCTCGGGCGATGTCCGGATGGGCCAGTGCGGGTTTTGCCCCGACTCTTTTAGGCACTCACTGCAGCGTCCAAGGTGCTCCTGCGGCTTCGCCGAAAAGTCTTCCCGAGGAGGGGGAATTCTGCGAGGCCGCAGTTGGTCGTGCTCTTGCGGCGTCTGCTGAGTTTGCTCACGATGCCGCTGCCGATCTGACGATCCGCGTGAGGAGGTCGATGGGAGAGGTTCCAGATAATGATGTAGCTCTTGTTTTGAATTGTGGAAAGCTCGTTTCGAAGAAGTGAGGGCCATATCTTGGCCTTGCGTTCTTGCGTGCGCTGGCCCGAGGTGTGAACACTTCTGCCATTTTTCACTCTCGGTCTAATTGTTGTTTCTTTGGCTGTTGATCCGACTCGTTCGATCCCGCCCTCGCCGACTTAGACGATATCGTTCGCTATGATCATTGTTCCCGTTTCTGCGCGTGAGCGCTGGCTCGGTGAATTGACGCCCCACTTCTCTGAATCCCCCCCCTGACCTTTTTCTCTGCCCCCGACTGTTGAGAGGCCCCGCGCGGTGCCGCTGATCGCTGCTGTCGTTCTTGACGCGCGCATGTTTGCTTGCAACTGTCGCCGCCATCGGCTCTCCTCTGGCTGTGTGTCTCAGCAGGGCCGTGCCTGAATGAGAGTCGCTGCTCGCCGTCGCAGGTCGATCCGTCGCAGGCGTATCGAGGATTTGAAAGGCGGGTGCAACCCTCATTTGATGCTCCTTTGTGGCCCTAGGGCCGTCTGCCTGATGCGCTCTCCCCGTTGACCGCCGGCGCGCGCTCGCCCCTGTCCCGAGGGGCCCAGGGGAGCGGAGTGCCGGATGGGTGGCCGACCCCCGAAGGGGGGGGCATGAGGTTAACCTCTCTGTCCCGGCCGCGTGGCCGACGCCGCCGGCCCCGATGCGGGGAACGGCGAGGGGCGCGCGTGCATTCTGTTAAGCCCCCTGCCCCGTCGTTGCACCGCCGAGCGAGGTGGGCGACAGACAGTCGCGGCGCGCGCGCGAGGGCAATCGAGCGGAGTGCGAGCTGTTCTGCAAGCGGCGCCAGCCCAAGGAGGCGGGGGGCCCATGTCGTCCAGGATGGCGCGGCTGGCGGGGGCGACGAGGGCCTGCCGGGCAAGGGGCTGTTTTCGCTTCGCTGGGCTTGAGAGGGCGGCGGTATTCAAGGAGGTCGCGGCGGGCTTCGCGGGGCAAGGGGATTTGTTCGCTGAGACTTCGAGCTTTCCGAGCGAGCTCGCCGCCGCGAGCGCGAGCTGCGAGAAGCTGCGGGGGGCGCGCGACGAGGCCATCATTGCTGCGGAGGCGCGTCGTCGCGCCTGAACTACGAGGCGGCTCGCCAGGAACAGGGGGTATAGCATTGAAGCAGATATGTGTGATCAGTTTCAATGTTAATGGAGTCTCTCGAGATGTCACTCGGGATTTCATCGAGGACCGAGGGCCTGCATGGGGCTGTCGTTTTTTTGCGAGGGCCTGCATGGGGCTGTCGTTTTTTTGCTGCGGGCCCCACTGGCATGGCGGGGGGGGCGTCTGTGTTTCCGTCGACGGCCAGCGGGTCTTGTCTGGGCCCTCGGTGCAACGCGCAGAAGGTCGCGCGGCCAGTGCGCGCAGCAGGAACTTCCCGGGCAAGGAGAAGCTCGGCGGTGAGGAAGAGGCTGCCGAGGAGGCGGCCCTTGTACCGCGCGGTCGCGGCGCTCGCGCGGATCATAGCGCTCTCTTCGTTGAGCGCCATGCGGGGCGGGGCCGCTGCTCGGCCGCCCCTTGCCGCGCGGCAGCTGCCATGTCTGCGCGTCCTGGTCTCGGCGCGGCAGACCGCCGGTCTCGCGTCGATGCCGCCTCCCTCTCTGCGCAGGCAGGCCGAGGGGCGCGCGCGTGCGAATGCAAGGTCATGAGCTTTATGGCCACATGTGCAGATCGTCGCGCTGTCTTGTTGCGCCCGCGTGCGCGGGGCGCGCCGCCGGCGAGGTCGGGGGCCCGTGGGTTGGCGGGCGGGTCGGCCCGCTGAGTTCGCCCGGCAGGCGGCTGCCCCCGGCGCGGGCCGGCCCTGCTCCGAGCGACAGCAGCGGAATGTTGCCCGCGCGACGCGGGGGGGGTTGGCGGCGGGCCATTTCCGAGGCGGAGGAGGCGAGTTGCGTTCGCGCGCTGTGGCACGAGAGGGCGCGCCTCATGCGTTCGAGGCACGAGCGTTGGGGCCAGAGCGTCTCGGGCGACCCATCCGAGGGTGGCTGGGGGACAACGCTTGGAACGCGGTAATCTAGCAAACTTCGGCATGCCCATTCCGGGGGGGTGGAGGCCGGAATGAATTTGTAGTATGGAGGCATTGTCCAAGATGTTTTCACGGGGGCCCCGTCCCCTGGGATGCATGACGTGCCCCCGCTCGCTCGTCGAGTGCCCGTTGGCCACGTTGACGTGCACTTCCAATATGCCCGGCCTCGGGCCAGTTGTGCATCCGATGGAGTCGTTGGCGAGACGTCGCGTGCGTTAGCGTCGCGCGGCCACTCTGCCCGTGCATCCATGCCCTCCCTCCCGAGCGCGCCAGCTACGGGTCCTGGGGTTTATCCTCGCAGGCACCTCCTTCAATTTGACGGGGCTTGTAGATGTAGAGGACGGGTAGCTTGCGGTGCTATGGCATGTAACCCTGACTGCGTTGAACTTCGCGCCCTCCCGCATTGCGTGGTTGGTGTCGGTAGCACTTCCGATGTCGAGTGGCATGGGCTCAAATTCGCCCGTGGATTCTGCTGCGGGATGAGCGCTGGGCGACTTGTGATGGAGGGTGGCAAGGGGCCAGTCATTAACCGACCAGTGTTTGGGCACGTGGCATCGCTGGGACGAGGCGTCAGCATGTTATCGCCGAAGTTTCACGGGACCTTTGCCAAACGCGCATTCAGCGGAGTTTCGGCACGTTCGCCGAGATCCCAACCGTCGCGGAGACCATGCAGCAAATGGCGGGATTGACCATGGCTCTTGAGTCACGTGCAGCGTTTTCAGCTTTACCCACTCCTGGTTTTGAAGTAGTTGATGGTTGAATGACTCCGCAACCTCCGGCCCATCATCAATTTACTGAGCTTACCAAAAACATCGGGAGTCGCAGTCGCAATACTTGAGCAACTTCGTTCCAGTTGCAATTGGCGATTTGTGTGCCGTCCTGGCCATTATGTTGTTGACCGGCATGCGATTTTTGCTCTTCTTGCCAAGAGGTGTGGACAAAGGGAGACTTGGCTTTGTTTTGGTGAGTTCCGATGTGCTGAAGACTTTCGAATGAATCAGACGCCAGCGATTGTTGCAACGCTTGAACGCAATGTTGTTCTGGCTCCATGTGCATGGATGCTCTGGCATGCACGGCCGATTTTTCAAATAGTGCGATTGTATGGGTCAGTCCGAACGCGTTGCCGTTGCATCGCGGCAGCAAGTGGGGGCCTTGTTTGTGGACCAAACTATTGACATATTGCATATCGTACGTGTGGGGCATATCAAACGCCAACACCTGCAATGTCGTCCTGCGCGCCACCACCCCGTGCGCAGAACACGGAGTCAAATGCTGCCGGAACTGTCGTTTTGAACTGGAGCCGCTTATCGCTTTTCCCGACGACCTTTCTCATCGCTGCCAATTGCGTTCGCGATGCCCGCCATATTTTTGGACATATTTTGTGGTGCCCTTCTTTCGCGCGGTTTCGATCTGCCAGCCAGTGCGGCACGTGTTGGTAAGCCAGGACAGCAGATTCGGGAAAGTCCTGGCCAGGAGCGACATCAGACGGCCCTGGCGCTTTCATGCGTCGCGTGGGCATCTGCACAAAAAAGTGCATGGTCGCACGGGGGAGGACATTAGAGTCAAGACGTTTTCCGCACGGAGTTGCGTTGCTCAATCGTCGTCGCCTTTTCCTGGCAAAACTTTTGTTCGGAAGCGGTGGTGCGGCCTCATTCACCGGATCTGCATGTCTATGACTACATCGCCGGCTGGCGCGTGGACCTACAACCATAATGTTGCCCAAAAGCTGCGCGCAGTCCAAATAGGGGCTATGCTGAAATACCTGCGTGTTCCACGCTTCCATGGGAACACGGATGAACATTATAGTCGTCGACAGAGGCGCAGGAGAGGTCTGGGAAGTAGCGGTGCCGGTGCCAGTCTTTGATAGGCAAGGCCATGCCCGATTTTCGCCATGATATTAAGAGTTTAACATGGCATCCTTTTTTGCTAAACAATCACACGGACTGGAAGACGTTTGCTTTGAATCGAAAGTTGTTGAAAAGTTGCGAGCCAGACTGGCTACAATACATGTTAGGAACTCTTTTGACTGAAGGCAATATTGTATATTGCCCCGACTGTTGGAGCCATCATCATCATCATCGTCATCGTGGTCGTTATCACCATCACCGTCACCAACACCGTCATCATCGTCACCATCATCAACAGCAGCAACACCATTATCATCTCCACCACTACCACCACAATCATCGCCCCAATCATCATTACCATCATCACCGCCGTCATCACCACCACCGTCATCATTGTTTGGCATATTCAACATCTAGTAACACGGTGTTCCTAAGCAGCATTCATTTCCGTCCACTTCTTTTCGTTCTCTAGCTCCTCTTCTCTCCTGCGGCTTGCCCCTCTCCCTCGACGCCTTGACTCCACTGCTGCCCCCGCTGTGTCTTCCCATGTCTCCGCCCCCTGTTTCCCCTCCGCACCCGCACCCGTGCCGAGGCGCGAGGAAGAGATGCCCTGCGCTCGCGCAGGCTTGAGGACGAGGTCCTGACCGAGTCCCATGCAGACGCTGGAGCAGGCTCTCCGAGGGAGGTAGCGAGGGAGGGAGGGACGACAGCATGGGGAGCCGGCTCCATGCTCAATGGGGGCCCTGAGGACGCCGACGTTGACCTCTCCCGTTGGAAAATCCAGGGTTCGCCAGGGATTGGGTTCCCTTCCAAAACAGTTCGCCGAACCCCTCCCGAACGCCCTTCCGAGGGAGGTTTCCGAGACGGAGGGACGACGAATCGACTGACAGCGCCAGCGTCAGGAGGACGAAGCGGAGGGCTGGATGTGATCGTTCAGTGGGTTGCGATGCGGGCAGAGGGTTTTCCGCAGTCATGGAGACATCACGCGGTCAGACAGCGGGCGTCCCGTCAAAATAATCTTCTAGTTCATCTGATCAATCGTTGTGCCTCGTTGCTGGGGATAACCCAGCCGTGTCAGCAGCGTGATGTTGCAAGGAAGCTCATATTCGGTCTCTTGTTGCATCCTGCGCGACGCTCTTGGAGAAGGGCGGGCGAGAGGACCACGCGGATGATGACAAGGACGAGCAGGACGGACAGGAGGTCGTGGTCGAGAGTCTGAGGAGGAGGGGGGAGGGAAATAGAGAGGGAGAATGGTCGATTGGTGAATGGGGAAACACGAGGAGGAGGTGGTGGAGGAGGAGGAGGCAGCTGACGCTTGGCAATCTCTGATGTGATGCTTGCTCGCAACCTCCGACCATGTGCGCCGCCACGTCATCTGCGATGCTGATTCACCGCGTCGGTGGAGACTCGATGGCACAACCTCGAAGCAGCGACTGGTGCATGGGCTTGAGCACGCCCGTCACCGCCGAACGTCCAGCCACTGTGCCGTTCGGGCAAATTTCGAACAAGTGTTGCCCGACCATATGGCTCCTAGAGGAAATCGGTTTTTGCATTCAATTGCCCAGCTAAGGCCTCCAACCAAATCTCAATGATTTTCAGAAATCTCAATTTCATGATGGCTCTGGTTTCCGTATGAATTGACGATGTCGTAAAAGAGCGTGAGCGATGTCATACCTTTGCGACGGGCATTGGTGCAGAGAAGGTTGTGTTCATATGCTACCTTGTCCGCTTTGCTCGAAGAGCTTCCCCGCCGACCAGTCGATCTTTGTTTTCTCTTCTTCACGAAGCGCTGCCCGAGATCACTCCAGAACCTGCCCCAGGCAGGCATCAGCCCAATCGTGTGCGTCCCTCCCTGCGGCCTTGGGAGGAACGCGCTCAGACTTAGACGCATCTGTGCGCTGCGAGGCTCACGTTCCCATGCGTCGAGGGTCGCAGCTAGATTTTCGTCTGTGAGGAATCCGACCAGCCTAGCCTCATGTGGAAGTTGTCCAAGCCTAGCGCGCCGATGTTGAACGCTTTGATCTCTGGGAGGTGTCAAGCGTACGGTCACGAGATCGAATGCTCCTCTCCCGCTCGCTGTTCAGAGACATACAATCCTCCTCACTCTTCCAGGATGCTTTCGACAGCTGCCTCTTCAGTGACAGCGTGTTCCGTGGCTTGGTCGAGGATCGGTTGAGCTTCGAGCGGCTTGGCTTTGATCAAAGCATGCGCCAATGTGCCCGAACCCTTGACCGTCTCTCCTCATCCTGGAGGTGTGTGACTTCCATGCCTCAGTCAATCTTGCCACCTGGAGGGGCCCCGCGATGTCCATGATGGCCACAAGATCTTGCAGGTTGATTTCCGGCCCACATTCCAGCGCTCGCATGCGCCCGCCGCACCCATACTGTGGTACACCGTTGACACGTTCCGAGGCCCCATGGGGCGCCCCACCGAAGGCCCAAATGCCAACGTTCGCATGCGCATGCCGCACCCATTTTGGCACATCCCACACGCTTCGTGGTCCCATCGGGAGCTCCACCGAACACGGTGCACGCAACGACGGTACCCACAATTGCACATGGTTGGTTCTTTCGCCAGGCTAATCTTTGTGTTCTTTCTACTAATACTGCTATCCTTTACTACCACTACCACTACTACTACTACTACTACTACTACTACTACTACTACTACTACTACTACTACTACTACTACTACTACTACTACTACTACTACTACTACTACTACTACTACTACTACTACTACTACTACTACTACTACTACTACTACTACTACTACTACTACTACTACTACTACTACTACTACTACTACTACTACTACTACTACTACTACTACTACTACCACTACTACTACTACTACTACTACTACTACTACTACTACTACTACTACTACTACTACTACTACTACTACTACTACTACTACTACTACTACTACTACCACTACTACTACTACTACTACTACTACTACTACTACTAATACCACTACCACTACCACCACCACCACCGCCACCACCACCACCACTACTACTACTACTACTACTACTACTACTACTACTACTACTTGTACTACTACTACTACTACTACTACGACTACTACTACTACTACTACTACGACGACTACTACTACTACTATTCCTACTCCCACTACTACTACTACTGGTACTACTACTGCTACTACTGCTACTACTATTGCTACTACTGCTACTACTCCTGCTACTACTACTACTACTACTACTACTACTACTACGACGACGACGACTACGACTACTACTACTACTACTACTACTACGACTACGACTACGACTACGTCTACGGCGGGTTTGTCTCCTCTACTACGACTACGACTACGACTACTACTATTACTACTACTACTGCCAGTACCACCACTACGACTATTACAACTACGACGACTACTATTACTACTACTACTACTACTACTACTTCTATTTCTATTGTTACCACTGTTACTACTACTACTACTGCTACTACTACTACATGAGCTACGGCGACGGCGACGACGACTACTACTACAGTTAGCATTCATTACTACTACTACTACTACTACGACTAGTACTTCGACTACTACCACTACTGCAGCTACTGCTTCTGCTCCTGCTACAACGGCGACGACTATTATTACTACTAGTACAATTTTCTACTACTACTACTACTTCTACTACTACTACTACTGCTACTACTACTATTACTGCGACCACTAACATTACTTTTACCTTTACGACTACTTTTACCCGTAGTCGTAGTACTACCACTATTACTCCTACCCCTTATGATGAGTGCTATTAATACAGCTACTACTACTACTACTACTACCACGTCGACTACTACGACTACCTCTACTACTACTACTACTACTACTACTATTACTACTACTACTACCACTACTACTACTACTACTACTACTACTACTACTACTACTACTACTACTACTACTACCTAGTAGTAGCTACTATTGTTATTATCACTACTACGAGTACTACTACTATTTCAAGCAGTACTCGTACTGCCGCTACTACCAGAAGAAGAAGTAGTAGTAGTAGTAGTAGTAGTAGTAGTAGTAGTAGTAGGAGTAGTAGTAGTAGCACTACTATGGTTATTACTGCTAGTAGTACTACGACGGCGTCGACGACGAAGGCGACGACGACTACTGTTCCTATCACTACTACGACTACGGCTACGATTACGAGCATTACTAGTACTGGTTCCATTTTCGCTGCTTTTGCCACTGCCTCTAATACTACGGTTCTGAGCACGACCGCTGCTACTACTTCTGCTGGCTCGATTAGTAAGTTTACTTCCACTACGATTGCTACTACTGCGACCACCATTCATTATGAGTAATAATGCGAATGTTTTCATTTTCTTGGTACAGCGGCCACAGCTAGTTCTAGTACAACTACTACTCATCGTATTGCTGTTTGTGGTATTTCTATTACTACTTGCTACTACGCCGACGGCGATCATTTACTACTACTACTACTAGTAGTACTACTACTACTACTACTACTACTATTACTGCTACTACTGCTACTACTACTACTACTACTACTACGGCTTCTACTGCTATGAACCTTGATACACCAAGATCCACTACTACTACTACTGTTACCATTATTTCCGCTATTACTATCACTTCGACTGTTACTACTACTACTACTACTACTTCTACTACTACTACTACTACTACCACTACCACTACCATTGCGCCGACGACTACTATCATTTCTTGTACTACTATCACGACTACGCATGTTCGATTACTACTACCGTTCTTGTAGGTCCTACTACTACTACTACTACACTGATAGTGCTACTACGACTTCTACACTACAGTGCAGTGCACTGCCCTTGGCGACACAACATCCGACTATATTGCAGTACGCTGCGTTACACTACACCACACTACGGTACGCTACTTTACACGACTCGACACTACATTTCATTACGCTGCATTTCATTGCGTTGCTACTGCTGTTCTTTGTTTATCGTATCTATACTACTGCTACGACTAATGCGAGTGCTGCATACTATCACAACTGCAACACTAACCGCGACATCTACGACTACACTCATACGAGTATTATTATTAATACTTCGATTACAACCGCTACTTTAATTACTACTGCTACTACTACTAATATTAATACAAGTAGTATTGCTACGACTACGGCTGCTACTATTACGGCTACTTCTTTTATTACTACAGCTCCTATTACTACTATTATGCTTGCTATTCTTATTAGTTCGACTACTACTACTACTACGACTACTACTACTACTTTCAAGTTGACTACGAATGCTACTACTCCTGCTGTTACTACGACCACTACGACTATTACTACCACTATTTCTACCAGAACTATTACCTCTACGTTTACTACTACCACTACCCCTAGTAGCCCGACTACTATTACTACTAGTGCTAATACTACTACGACTACTACTACCACTACTGCTAGTATTGCTACTAGAACAACAACAACTACTACTACTAGTACTACTACTACCACCACTCCTACTACTTTTACTACTACTACTACTATTATTGTTGCTGCTACTACTACTACTACTATTACTACTATTACTACGATTACTAATACGACGCCGAAGAAGACGACGACGACGACGA